TCTCTTTCTAAGGAAAGGGCGATAATCAAGAAATAATAAAAAGAAAGGGTCATTCAAAATCTTTTAGTTTAAGCATGCAGTCAGAAGTGATAAAAAATTTGTGAAAGCTTCTTAAAATCATGGCCCCTGGGGCAGAGATCTGGTAACAAAATGTGCCCTAAGATTTATAGAAATTTATTGATAAATTTGAAGAATTTTCCTTTCAAAAAATACAAGACTGCATATTCTCAACCCTATACTTGTAAACAAACATCCCTATGTAGTGTAGATTCAAAATTATTCAAATCATTGTCATCGAGACAGGGACGAGGCTAGAAGTTTGATGCAAAGTATATAATAATATAGGAGAATATCTTTTAAAAATCCTTTATTTCTGAAATTTTGCATCGCAGAAGTGAACAACACTTTTAAATAAACTGTTTTTATACCTACTTTCTTCTGTCATACCGATACGACTCCCCCTTTTTTATTTTTTAGTCCAATTTTGTATTTTATTTTTTAAAACGTACATAATTTTATTATTCACTGCGAAATATATATTACATCCTGGCGTGGACCAGTCAATCGCTAATACAAAAAGATACATTATACGGTTATCTATTTCAGGATATCTAAGAGACACATCGGGATCTTTCTATGCTTCCTTCTATGTCATGGGATCAACTCTTATTATCAGTGGAGTAATACTGTTCTTGGAACCTCTGTGTAGAAAGTTAGAAAGAAGAAGAGCTGATTCTAAAAACATAGAACAAGAAGTTGTTGTTACACCATAATGATGATGATGATGATGTTGATGAGGGAGAGAGAGAATGTATATAGCATTTCAATTCAGTCTTTTAATAAAAAATGTATATCCTGAATAATTACTCTTTATTTTGAACAAAAACACACTTATTTCAACAGTTGAAAGGATAACTTCAGATTTTTATCAGATACGAATATGCTAATTCTAAGTTGTGACATGATCCGGCGAGTTTTCCTTTGAAGTCAACCGTACAATAACTGCGATATAGAACACTTTTTGTAGGCGTTTCTTATGCAAACGAACAGAAACTGTACATTATCTGCAAAATATCAACGATACTGTACAGTTTATTTTTAGCGTTGAGGGAAAACTGAATCCTATCTCAAATGATATAGACATAAGAATCATTCAAACTGATTGATAGTGCTGTTTGTACTTATCTAAAATTTGAGATAAATTAAGAATTTGACAACGTAAAGTTACCAATGCGGATTCAAAAATTTTTGAAAGGAGGGAGTGAGGGTAGTAAACAAATGGTTTTCTTCGGGAAAAAATGTCCAAAATGGAAAATAGGGGATTTCGTTGGGGTAGATTCATAATCAGACCTGACACTATGCGAGTGATCGTTACGTGTTGATAGGTTAAAAGTATACACAAGTTTAGCAAACATAATCTACGAAAGCCAGAAAGAAAAGACAAAAATGGTGGGGGGAATATTGACCCGTGCGAGTGAGTGTTGGATCCGCCTTTGGTTACTCTGTATTTTGTTTCAAACATGAAGGTAATATGCCCCTTTCTTTCATCCTGTTTATTTCAATTTGGTGCCAAGAATTTTGTATACACATGTATGACGACCGGTCGATGACATTGTCAGACATTTGTTTAAGAATATACAACCTCCCCGAAACATTTTTGCTTCAAATACATTCCTACATGATTCTTACATGTATGTATCAAAATGTTTTGCACTAAATTCTTAGCATAAATTAAAAAAATGTCAGCAAGAGCTAAAAAACTATGCAATCAAATATTAATTATATTTTTGGAAAACACAATATAATGTCTCTCATACTATAGAGACCAGGACGTTCACCTCACTCGGCATTTTAGTTGCGATTGCTAAAAATGGGGAACTAAATCAACTTTCTGCCAAATCATCTGATAAGCTGAGAAACATGTACCTAAATAGGCATGTAAACTAGTGAGGTCATAAGAAAGGTCATGTCACAAGTTATTTAGAATACTCGTTTCCTACTGTATCGGAGATACAGAGCGAGGCCCGGCTCGAGCTATCGCTCTCGCCTTAAGCCCCGCCCTGTATCTCCGATACAGTAGGAAACGAGTATTCTAAATAACTTGTGACATGACCTTTTCCAAAACGAATTTATAAGCTATGGCTTCTTCTTGATGATTAGGACCAAATTGTTAGTTTTTTATCCACTGTACAAGTCCTTAAAATTCTCCATTCATCTCCTATTACCTCAATTATTATGTGTTTTGTTTTTTTCTTGGCCCTAGATCGTGAATTTTTCTTCAGAATTTTGCTGGATAATCCATAGTGGCACCTAATCCCACCTCTGATGTCTTAGAGGTCTGTGTTTGCTCTACTCCTATTTTGTAATGTTTAATGGACTTTTGAGCTGGAATACTGTTCATTATCTCCACATATTTCACTCTTTCTATTTTTATAGGGTTTGTCAAATAATTTCTATTTTTATAGGGTTTGTCAAATAATAATCGGACAGAGAGGTAAGCATATCGACACTTTCTATAGAAAATTTGGGTATATTCTTTTTATTCCGATCATCCATCACTATGTCTCATTATCTTTTACCTAGAACTCCTCTAACATTCAAAGCAGGAACCAAATCAAGATAATAAATTGTACTCTAGATGTGCAATTTGGTTTCAGAGTTTTTATTTCTTCCCCAGGGGCCAAATCAGAGTAAAAAAAAGACACTTTCCTACAAAACCTGGTTCCGAGAACTTTTCTTACATATTAAGAAGTAGCTAAATCAACTTTTGCAAAATAATTGGTGGTGTCTTGTAGATGTGCGATAAGGTTTTGAAAATTTCATTTTTATTCGGGAGACCAATGGAGGGTCGAAAAAATGACGAAAACCTGATTCCCATAGCCCCCCTCATATTTTATGCAGTACCCAAATCTTTTAAATATGATAGGTGATCTCCGAAAAAGTGTAATATGGTTTGAAATTTTCACTTTCATTCTGGGATTAGGCATGACCCATAAGAAATTGCCAAACATAATTCTCAGTGTATCGTGCTATATGCAGCAAGAATGTATTTGGTTTAAGGACTGGAATATTAAGTATTTTAAAGATATTTGAACAATTATAAAAGGAAGAGGATTGAGATGACCTAGGAACTTGTCCAACATTAAACTCAATGCAATTTGATATGTGCAGCAAGAATATATATGGTTTACGGGTGGGCATCTCAACTTGATTTAAAGCTACTTCCCATGTACAAAGGGGGGGGGGGGAGTACGTACGGGTATTAACGTCTTATGACAACATCTACCCGTAGGTTTAATTAACACATGTATGTTATACTCGTAATTCAATTCCTTTTAAATAAACGTTCTCCTTATCAAGCATGCTGTTCAAGAGAGAGTCTGTAGTTCAAAGTATATGCTGTTTATTTTTCAGCATGTGTTTCTTCTATAAAGAAGAAATTTCAGTGAATTATGAAAAACTAGAATAACAAGTAGAAAATTTAACGTGCCCAATTTAAAAAGAATACTTAGAATTTGATACATGTATATTCGGTCAAAGATCTGCATCCAGAACCTATCCATCCATAATTTTGTCAATGGTGCATCAGGTTTAATTATAATTGATGTTTCTCATATGAAGATAGGGTGAAAATATCTGTCCAGAAAAATCCTCATGTTGTATTATGGACTTTGAAAGTAAAAAAGAACACGGAAGACAATTAATTTCTCATTCTGACTTGTTCCTTTTCATTACAACTAAGCTTTTCATTACAACTAAGCTTTTTAATTTATTATATTAATAAGGTGATTTCTTTACTTTTATAGGCTGGAACATTTTGGCACCATTCAGATACCTCTTTCCTGTCATATACTTGATAAACTGTGGTATTTTCCTACTACAATTATTCATTTAATCATTAAAAATTTACAATCTTCGTGGTCTGTTAATGACAATGAAAAACTGTATGTCAGTGGTTTACATTTCCAATTTACTCAGGCCTGTACATATTCTTCTTTGCTTCACATCTGGCTCCTTGAATAATTTAATTTTCAAACGGTTCCACTGCCAGCTTTATCTCCATAAATATTTTGAATGTTTGGAATCATCTTGTGAAAGTGAAACGATGATCACAGCAAAGCTGAAAAAGATACTTTAGCTCGACGATGAGTATTTTGAATAACAAATATAGTTGGAGATGTTAACAAGTAATGTACAGTATTATAAATTGCTTCCTTGTTATGTGACTATGCACTTACTGACATACTTATTTATTTTGAAAACATGATCGATACTGATGATTCATTTAGGTACTTATAGTGCTATGAAATAGTAGGTGTTGCCTTGATTTAAATGTGAAATTGGTTGCATACATTAAGGAAATTATTTGCTATGATATTTTCATATTTTAAGCTACAGACAACATAATTGAGTATGCAACACCTGCATTTCTGCTTGCTTGATTGATTGTATTTTGTTTCACGTCCCCCACTGTGGGACGTGGAGACCGGTCCTTCGGATGAGACCGTATAAACCGAGGTCCCGTGTCGCAGTAGGTGCTGGCACGAAAAAGATCCCTCACTGCTCAATGGCTGTAAGTGCCGAGTATAGGACAAAATTTGTAGCCCTCCACCGGCAAGTGGTGGCGTCTCCATATGAGTGAAAAATTCTCGAGAGGGACGTTAAACAATATACAAACAAACAATAAAACGTCCCCTTCGAGAATGTTGATTCGTCCCCGTAAACTTTATCATGCCAACGCCTATCGTGACTGGAGACTTCGGTTTAAATGTCACATTTGAAAGACCAGCGGCTTACTTTTAGTGCCGGGCGCTTGGCAAAAGAACTATTTATATTTATGTTTTATGTTTGACGTGGCATGGTGAACAAGAATCGAACCAGGGCTTTTCGATCACGAAGCGAATGCCCTATCACGTGGCTTCCGCAAAAAAACAACATTAAATTTTCCTTATATTAGTATAATTACATATTCTCTCCCTTCGGTAAACAATAGTACAACCTTAACCCAGGAAAACATCTTTATTTTGATATAAATGGCTTCAATAACAATAAAAATCCACCAAGAATCAAACAGACCCCCATGAGGTAGAATCCACCCACATACGATCCAGTCTTGTCTCGTATAAAACCTGTAAATATAATTTGTATAGAGGCATGTAGATATTACATTTGACCACTGAACTATTTTTGAAACTACATGTACATCGCACTAATCTTCATCCTTCGCTAAAGATCTATTCGAGTTTTGTACCCTCATGCATTATATACGTGCGTATGACTGAATACATCATTTTAAGAAGAAATGAAACTTGACAGGTGAGGTACAGTGATTCCAACTTACCGACTAGTGTTGATGTTATAGCAATCGATGTCCCTCTTGTTACCGTGCCCATAACTAAACCATGACTAAGATTTTCTAATCCTATGAAATCAACTATTAGAACGTTTATCAATGAATAGTATGTACCACCAAATGACGCTTGCAGAATTCCAAATACTGCTAGCGTAACAAAATCGTTATAGAACGATGCTATCAGACAGACAATTCCATTTGCCATAATTGCTATGGTCATCATATGACACCTTTGGATCTTTTTATTATCAGAAATAAATATAAACAAAGTTCTTCCAATTAAATCACTTGCTGATGAAATCGTGAGGAGGTATTCAATCATATCTGTTTCTAATCCTTTGTCTATTGCAAACGGTGCTATGTAGGTCACAGGAATAGTACAACCAGCAGCAATAAGAAAGGAAAACACCATTAAAATAACGAATTTGGCATCTTTGAACAGAGAAAAGTCAAACAACAAAAACAAAAACTGAATGCAACAATTCCTTTTATCATTGTATTTAGAAGATGCCGAGTCCATTTGGTTCTTTGATTTTGCCGTATTAATCATATCCAGGAATCGTGCCAACGCCTACCGTGACACAGGGCCTCGGTTTTTAAGGTCTCATCCGAATGACCCGGAACCTTCACTTCAAAGTGCCGAGCGCTTGGCGAAGGAATAGTTGCTACCTCTTTTTTTATCGTCAGCCGTGATTCGAACACACGACCTCCCGCTCACGGAGCGAGCGCTCTACCGACTGAGCTACTATCTGTAAATAGAAAATTAATCATAAAAATAGCTTTTGGGGTATACTACATTTAGATATTATCCTTGGAACATGACAAACATTTTCAGTTTGGGTGTAACGATACTTTATCAGAACAAAAGCATGTATAAATGTTATTACCGAAAATACAGGATTTTGGAAACGAGTTTGATAAACCTCTATTAATTCCTTTCCCTTTGATAATTTGTAATTTAGTCATTTTTAGTTGGGCTCGTTATGAAAACTGCATTTTAGAACTTGGCTTTAACGAGGTTCACCCCTGAGCTTTTGAGCAGATTTTTGTCTTAAATTATATTTTAAAAATTCTGCATCATGTTTTAGTTTTTACAATAAATTTGGACTCCACAATTCCAATTAAACTATATTCGGTTAAATCTTCTTAATTTAATTCCATACCAAAAGCATTAAGTGAGGAACTATATTTTGTGGCGGAAGGTTTTTTAGAATCATCATCATTTTTTCTCTTTCGAAGTATTTAAAGTATTTTAAGTCTGGATTCCTATTTTCCCATGCAGCCAGCTTACAGAGTTATTCTATGCCATGAACTGTTTTATGCTGGTCCTAAACTATATATTAAATAAACTATCATGAATTCTATCATCATATGTGATAAATATAGCAAATATATTGTGAAAATCTAGAAAAAATAGCTCTAATTTAAGCTTAAAATTAGACTATTTTAATAATATCTAAAAATTAACTTCACAGAATGCTTTTCTAAATATATAAGATACTTTTAACCATTCTTCTTAAATTCAGTAAAATGTCATTACATTCAAATGATTTTATTCCTTGTTAAATTTTTAATGCCAGAAAAATGATATTTTTTGAGTGCAAAAAGGTCAAATAATTGAACATGCAAAGTAATTTTAATTTTTTTGTTTTCACAAATTTTAATGTGTCTATTTAAGATGGAATAAGACTGTGTTTTTTCCCATAATTTATTTGAATAAAAAATATAGGAGAAAAAACTTCAAAAATTGATTTATGTGTAAGACGCATTTACAGTGCAAAAAGGTCAAACTAAATGCTCTGTAGCCCCCTCCCCCCCCAAAAAAAAAAGCGCATTGACTCCCATTTTTTGTTTTGATCTTTAATTAAGCTATGTGTGTAGATTCTAAAAATATACTTGAAAAAAATTCTCATTACATTTGGTGGCAGGATCCAACCTCCATAAATCTACATATGGAAATCCAACTTATTCCCATTGTTCTATTTCAAAAATAAAATGTTTCAGTTTAAAAGTATCTTTAACATCCCAGACAAGGACTTGAAATTGAGTTATACTGTACCTACACTTAATTCGAAAACTTTATTAAAACCCTTTCCAAGACACTTTGCAGTGTGCAGTTAATGTTCTACAGAATCCCTGCCTTTACTCACAAAAATATTGACTGCTGTTAAGGAGAAACTTCAGACGTACTATGCTACAACGGAAAAAAACGGAAAAATCACTAGGCAATCCAGTGTGTAGATAATGGCCAAACAACTAGTATGAAAAACGTCAGGTATTTGACTTAATGACAGTTGTCATAAAGTTGTTTTTAAAAGATGTGATGAGCTTGAAGAATAATTATAAATATCACTTTCTGTGAAGTGAAGTGATCCACATTTACTGATCCTGGCCAAATCTCTCTAAATTAGAATCAGCAAAACTTAGAACAATAAAACAAAGACAACAAAGTTTATCATTCTCAAAAGGCTAATTTAACAATACAAATGAAACAAGAGGCCCATGGGCCACATCGCTCACCTGAGCACATTGGCTAGGAAAAAAAAGCAAAAATCAGTACAGTATTGAAAAGTTTACAGGGAGGGGGGTGTTGAATTTTAAACTACCTGATGATGCTTTCATATCAATATAACAAATGGCTTTGTTGTTCTTGAGCAGCAGATTTTTTTTCCCATATATTCATTTGTAAAAATTTGATCCCCCATTGTGGCCCCACCCTACCCCCGGGGGCCCTCATTTGAACAAATTTCATTCTACACTACCCAAAGATGCCTCCATATCAATTTGACTAATTATGGCTTTTCTGTTCTTGAGAAAAAGACTTTTTCCTATATATTCTTCTGTAAACTTTGATCACCCATTGTGGCCCCAACCTATCCCCGGGGTAATGATTTGAACAAACTTGAATCTTCACTATCTGAGGATGCTTCCATATAAATATGACCAATCATGGCTTTACTGTTTTTAAGAAAAACATTTTAAAGATATTTTCCTATATATTTCTATGTAAAACTTGGATCCCTCATTGTGGCCCCACCCTACCCCAGGGTTCATGATTTGAACAAACTTGAATCTACACTACCTGAGGATGCTTCCATATAAATATGACCAATCATGCCTTTGCTCTTCGTAACAAAAGATTTTTAAAGATATTTTCCAATATATATATATATATATATATATATATATCTATGTAAAACTTGGATCCCCCATTGTGGCCCCACCCTACTCCCGGGGGTCATGATTTTTGAACAAACTTGATTCTACACTACCTGAGGATGCTTCCATAAAAATATGACCAATCATGGCTTTGCTGTGTTCTTAAGAAGAAGATTTTTAAAGATATTTTCCTATATATTTCTATATTAAACTTGGATCCCCCATTGTTGCCCCACCCTACCCCCAGGGGTCATGATATCTACACTACCTGAGGATGCTTCCATATAAATATGACCAATCATGGCTTTGCTGTTCTTAAGAGAAAGATTTTTAAAGATATTTTCCTATATATATCCATGTAAAACTTGGATCCCCCATTGTGGCCCCACCCTACCCCCGGGGGTCATGATTTGAACAAACTTGAATCTACACTACCTGAGGATGTTTTCACATAAGTTTCATCTTTCCTGGCCCAGTGGTTCTTGAGAAGAAGATTTTTAAATGATGCCATTATTTTTTCACTAATTCCTAATTATCTCCCCTTGAAAGAGGGCGTGGCCCTTCATTTGAACAAACTTGAATCCCCTTTACCCAAGAATGACTTGTGGCAAGTTTGGTTGAATTTGGCCCAGTGGTTCTTGAGAAGAAGATGAAAATGTGAAAAGTTTACGACAACGACGACGACGCCAACGACGACGACTACGACGACGACGACAGACAACGGACAAATTTTGATCAGAAAAGCTCACTTGAGCCTTTGGCTCAGGTGAGCTAAAAAAGGTGATTGATATACAGAAAAATCTACAAACAAAACAAATATGTGTATAGGGCATAAAACATTGACCTCCGGATATTACAGAAGTGGGATCAGGTGCATAGCAGGAATAAGCATCCTCTGTCGACCACTCACACCCGGCGAGCCCTAGTATTGATAAGGTACCCAGAATATTCTGGGTATTGATAAGGTACACAGAAGCAATTGGTATGAAAAAACGTAAACTAAAACTGAAAACTTGCTTGGCTCTGGGGATCTTGTTTGGATTGTAGTTTCCTCTGAGAATCTGATATCCACACAGTTTTGTTGTAATCTACACAAAATTCGCTAGATCAAATTAAAAAAAAATATGTTTCCATGCTATTTCAAAAATGGTAATATGCCAATATGTTATATACATTCCATTGTTGTTCTTTCTCATAAAATACATGGTAAATGTTGGTTTTTTATTTCCTCTGCAAGACACGCGTACAAGTATTCAGCATTGCTACCATGTAACAAGTCACAGAGACAAATCACAATGGCAAGAGTATAAAGGAAAATTATAGTGGCTTATTTTCAATACAAAATATAATTGATAAATACTTTAAACGTACTTTTTTCCAAGGGTCATAATTCCGTGGAATCACAATTTCTGTTCAACGGATTTCTTTAATTGCAACTATATGCCTTAAAGGAACTTTAAGTACGCTGGGGCTTTCTGAGGAAAACTGTGACCGCGTATACATAGCATAAATTAATACAACACAGAGAAAAGTACTCTACAGTACCCTGAAGTGTGTTTTTCTGAAAGAATAAGTGTGGAAAAGAAACATAATACATGTCAATTAAGATACACGTATAAAGAATAACCTTGCCCACAAACAGTTAAATTCTCTAACTTGTCTGTTAATGATAACGAACGTCGCTAAGGATAGCTAATCGTGCCCCCTCAACTGAAAATGTATAGCTGTGCACCCCCCCCCTCCCAAACTGAAATTGCTTCCTACGGGCCTGTCCTTAATCAACAATTTGACCAGATTTTAAATTGTAACTTATTCTGGAAAGTTCTTTTTCAAACATTTTTCTTGTCGGTGATTTTGGTGGTAGTTTTTAGAAGTGGATTTCCTGTGCTGATATTTTCACAGGATGAGACTGGACTTTGTTCATCAATTGATAAGTAGGAGTACTTTTATAATGTGGTTATCATGTTGTACTACGTTGTATAATACTATAAAGGCTAACGTCCCGCTTCAATTAATAATGGTATCTTCTTAACCATGATTTGCAAATAGAAATACAAATAACTTATAATTGAAAAATAACGTAGGCTGTCAAATTTTACAAATCTCTAAATGTTCCTTATTAGAAATGGTTTACTTATATTTTATAAAGCCTAGCCTATACGATTAGTTTATGATATTTAAATTGTCAAACAAAACAATTCTGAAATACCCAAGAAACTTAATTTGACAAAAAATAAATCTAGCAATTTGTATTCTTTTACTTTTAGACGAAAAAAAAGAAACCACGA